TGGGCGACTAGGCAAACCACCTCGACTTCCCCAAAAGGATATATAAGTCTTGGCCGCCACTTGGAGTTGCCCCAATTACATACTTAAGGATCTGGCAATCATTCGTCCGGGATTTTGGGGCGTGACTGGATTCAGTCAAAAAATGCTTCGCCTCCCACAGAGGGCCAGCCAGCATTAACTTTTTCTCTGATTGAAGCGAGCAGGCCAGTTCCAGGTGGCAGTTCAGAAGATGAAGATGCGATCACTGGAACAAGATATTTATTGGCCTGACGTTTCGGATTCTCACTCGGATCCATCATCAGAGACATTCGCAGATAATGGTGATGGTGGCATCAGGAGTGCAGTATTCATAGCACGTGGCTGTCGTGGGACCGTATGCTCACTGCAATTAACCGTCCTCGCAATCACCGCTGGGTCGTAATTGATGCGGTGGTGGCTTGTCAGTTCGAGTCCGAGTCGTTAATTGCCGTGATTTCGTCATCCGTGCTGGATGCTGGTGTGACGATTGCTCGGCAAACTGGCTCACTGTCACCGTGATAATTGTTCGCCCGCGCCCACTCCACGTGACTGATTTTCCTGCCCAGGGAAAATCTCAGCACGGAATATGTTACCGGGAGGTCACTGTGCTTGTTGATGGATTGCGGGCCTGAGAACCATGACTCGAGCAGCTCGTGGCTCACGCGGTTGTCACCCCTTGGGAGGATTTCGGTCTCTTGAAGACGTTCATCACGTACGGGAGAAAATATGTGGATGACACCTTCCTCGTCATCGAACGGGATCAGGTGTTGACGTTCAAAGAACATCTCAATGCCGTCCTCCAGGACAATCAATTTACGATGGAGGAGGAGGAGGAGGAGGAGGAGGAGGAGGAGGAGGAGGAGTAGAAAAACAATCAGCTGGCTTTCCTAGATGTCCTCGTCTGCCGCAAAGATTGTAGTGGCCTAAAAATCAAAGTGTTCAGGAAAGCAACAAATACGACGCAAATACTAAAGGTCAACAGCAACCACTCAATCAGTCACAAACGCAGTTGCGTAAGGGCGCTTTACCGGCGCGCTGAGACGCACTGCAGTGAAATGGTGAACTAGGTTGCTGAATTAAGATATCCTCGACGGGTAATGAGAGCCAATGGTTACCCGCACAACTTTGTCAACCAGTGCATACGAAAAGGACACCAGAGACCAAATCCAACCGGCCCCAAATTTTGGCGGGCTCTCCCGTACGTGAAGAACGTCTCGAAAGCCGTCCGTCGTCTTCTCACTCCACTTGGAATTGGGGTTGCACTCAGGCCGGAAGCAACCATTAGGCGCCAAGTCATGTGGCCAAAAGGCCCGCTGCCACGGCAGGAAACGTCTGGAGTAGTTTACCGGATCTGGTGTAGTTGATGACAAAGCAACTATGTCGGAGAAACTGAGAGATTACTCTGTGCGCAAATTGCCGAGCACGCAGCAGCAATGAGGCGGGGAGACGCTAACTCTCAGGTGGCGGCACACTCGACGAGACCCGGCCATATTTTCAAATTTCAAGAGACCGAAATCCTCCCAAGGGGTGACAACCGCGTGGGCCACGAGCCGCTCGAGTCATGGTTCTCAGGCCCGCAATCCATCAACAAGCACAATGACCTCCCGGTAACATATTCCGTGCTGAGATTTTCCCTGGGCAGAAAAATCAGTCACGTGGGGTGGGCGCGGGCGAGCAATTATCACGGTGACAGTGAGCCAGTTTGCCGAGCCATCGTCACACCAGCATCCAGCACGGATGACGAAATCACGGCAATTGACGACTCGGACTCGAACTGACAAGCCACCACCGCATCAATTACGACCCAGCGGTGATTGCGAGGACGGTTAATTGCAGTGAGCATACGGTCCCACGACAGCCACGTGCTATGAATACTGTCCTCCTGATGCCACCATCACCATTATCTGCGAATGTCTCTGATGATGGATCCCAGTGAGAATTCGAAACGTCGGGCCAATAAATATCTTGTTCCAGTGATCGCATCTTCATCTTCGTAACGTTTTTCTCTGTTTGGAATCTGGCCAGATATTTGTAGCACACCGCAGATACTTTCCAACTGTTTGACTACTATTCGCTAACCGTAGCCGGTGTGGTTTACTTTTTTCCTTCTTCATTGCTGTCTGGTTTGTTTGTGCCTGTTTTTCTTACTTTTAGTGTGTGCATAACGGCTGTATTGTGCTGTGTTGAATGCTTGGTGCTTGAAGTGAAATATTTCGCCCGCATTCGTTTAATTGTTTCGTTTTTCTGGAATTCCTCGAGAGGCATTTTTACTTTTTTCCATATTTGGCAATTTCGTAGGTTTCTTGCTTCAACTGTCCTTCCTCTTTTTCCAGTGTAATTGAACTGCCTTAGGCCACACGTATAATGACTCGCAGAAGATCACACTGCGGTCCTTGTCCTCACTCGGCGGAAGCAATGCGACGAGTACGTGGAAATTATACTGCAGAAAAACGGGCATCAGCGAAAGAGCGAAAAATACGAAGACTGGCACAAATACGTGCGGAGGGAGCAGCCTAGTGTAGTGTAGATGGGCTGGAGAAAGCCCGGTTACGGACACGGTGAGCGCGTTCTGCAGCTTCCGATCCACTTCGTTCCCCACAGAAGGAGCAGGAAGTGCTGAGAGTGGCTGAAAGGCGCCGCGAGAAACATCAGCTCTGTAGTAGTTTTGCGGTGAGAAAGAGTGCAGTCTGAGCGTCACCCGTAATCAGTGCTTGTCCTATTTTGGAAGGAGAAGACATAACCCGGGGTTGTCCTCTCAGGTGGCAGTGGCCACTGACGGAGTCTGTGCTGGTGTTGACTGCGTCCAGTCCTGCCCGAGAGTCTCTGAGATAGTGGTGGCAGCCGCTTTTGTAGGCTCGTGGACCAAGCTTAAGTGGTGTCCAGTCAGCGTGTGTTGCATTTGCCGAGGGGTGGTGTCGCAGTGGCTTGTGTTGCTGGTTGCAGGGGGTGGCGCGTTCAAGTGGCCGCATGGGCAGCTGCGACGGCGCGGACGCAGGTATGCCCGAGCTGTTGGTCTTGTGACTTCAGGTCTGCTCGTCTGGGACGGCTCGCTGCAAGCGCTGAATGACCTTGAGGCAGCGAAGTCTTGAACAATGACGCCAGACCAGTCAGCATGGCTAGTCGCCACGGCTCTGCGTCAAACACGCTTCCGTGCTCAGCATTCACGTGACTACAATCGCCTTGCATTCCGGTATAACCTTCCTGACGACTACAACTTGAGCCGGCATGTTCACACCGGCACTATGACTGGAGTGTGTCCCTATTGTAAGGCTTAGAAATTTACCGAAGAATCTAAAGGACTGTGCCGTGTAAGTGCAAAAATTTAACTGCCCGAACTTTCAGAACCACAGGAACCATTAAAAACATTACCTGCTGGACAGACCGCTGAATCAAAGCACTTCCTATCTAGCATCAGGAAGTATAATTCCTGTTTGCAAATGACGTCGCACGACGCAGACAGCATGACAGGTCAATTCATGCTTACGTTCATAGTGAAAGTCCAAATTTATCATTCAGCTGGTTCCCTTCTTC